CAATCGTTTTTAAGTTTTTTTCTGCAATTTAGACTAACCCTGCTTATTCCTGTGAACCAACCAGTGATCTCTGGCTGCTGCTCAAAAGAAACAAAAGGGATGGGTAATGTAAAAATTTGGATCAATATTCTAATTCTGGGCACAATACTGGAATCAGCTAGTAACCCTAAATTAGCTTGGTTCCAACAGTTGCCCAGTTCACAGAAAACCTTCTTATTTAGTTTACTTGGGACAGTTTTGCTTATTTTGCTTTACTGTTGTGCAGTATATTGCTGTTGTACTCTTTGTGTAGGAATGCAGGATAAGCCTGTTGTCTTAAACTGAACACTTTTTCATCTTCCAGATATCACCTTTTGTTGGAGTTATGAATAGCTCTCACCATATTGATGCTTTCTGACTGAGCTCCTCTCTGAACCCTTGAATACAGGAAACCCTAAGAGTCAGGCAGGAATATCATCGCCCCTATTCAGCCTGAAAAAGTTACAGAAGATGGATCTTTATTCATTTGTAACCCCTAGGATTAAGGGCTCTCCAATAAAAGGGAGGGGAGAAGTGTCAGAGGTGTTTGAACCAGAACAACTCCATCTTGAATAGGAGTTGGGTGAAATAAGGCTGAGACCTACTGGGCTGCATTCTCATTAAGACAATCTTTTTTTGTTTTATGTTTTTTTGGGGGGGTGTTTTTTGAGATGAAGTCTCTCTCTGTTGCCTAGGCTGGGGTCCAGTGGCACAATCTCAGCCCACTGCAACCTCTGCCTCCCAGGTTGTAGCGATTCTCCTGCCTCAGTCTCCTGCCCGGCTTTTTTTTTTTTTGAGATGGAGTCTCGCTGTGTTGCCCAGGCTCAATGCAAGCTCCACCTCCTAGGTTCACGCCATTGTCCTGCCTCAGCCACTCAAGTAGCTGGGACTACAGGCGCCCACCACGACGCCCAGCTAATGTTTTGTATTTTTAGTAGAGATGGGGTTTCACTGTGTTAGCCAGGATGGTCTTGATCTCCTGACCTCGTGATCCACCCTCCTGGGCCTCCCAAAGTGCTGGGATTACAGGCGTGAGCCACCATGCCCGGCCAGTTTTTTGTATTTTTAGTACAGATGGAGTTTCA